ATTTGGACTTATGGAATCGAACTATGGGGTTGCTCATGCAAATCTAACATAAAATCATTCAAAGGTGCCAGAATAAAATTCTGCGTATCTTTACTAATGCGCCTGGTATATTTCGAATTTTGCCTACATAAGGATTTGAAAATCTCAACAGTCAACAAAATGATCAAGATTAGAAGTTCATCTTTCAACAATAACTTAATCCAGCATACAATCCTACAATTCAAGCGATTCACAGACCGATAAGAAGATTGAGCAAGAAATGGCCTTCCGATCTACCAAACACCTAGCCCAATGTCTGCACGCGTCCTGACGTAGTACGCGGCATACATCATCACGTCATCGTTCATTTATGTTATTATTTTTGTATTACTGTTTTAATTTAATTTGCATTTTAACTTTTTTCATTTTATATTCAATTTATTGCATTTTTTTGTATTTTTGTATTTTTTGTTGCTCATATCAATTTTGTAAATAAGACATTAAAGTCTTGATTAACAAAAATAATTTGTGATAAAAAAAAAAAAAAAAAATCTGTCTAATGATCATTTTTGACCGCCAAATGGCATTTTTTTTCACTTTTTTTACTAGATCTCCGAAACCGCTAGACCTGCCTTCATGAAAATTTGATCTTATAATACAAGTAAAATGTTTTTTGAATTATTCAAATCGGACGCTCCGTTCTCTTAAAAACTGAGTTACCATTTTTGGCACTTTTTGCCCCATATCTTCGGAGCGGCTAGACCTGCCTTCGCCAAAAACTAATCAGCACGTTTCCTTATCAATACGAATCGAATGTTTTTTGAATTATTCAAATCGGTTGATCGGTGTTCCCGAAATCGTCGACGAAAATTTGTGTCCGCACACACACACATACACGCACACACACATACACGCACACATACACATACACTCACACACACACACATACATCCAGTTTTTCTAAGGTATGCCAAAATACTCAGAAACCTTTGAAACGTAAGGATATATATTTTCATTTTCGATTTTTTTTGCGATTACTATAACTTGCCCTACGGGAAGTTAATTTGAAAAATGTATATTATATATATATATATATATATATGTTATTTAGAGTGTTAATTACATAACAAATGTATTATTTTGTCTAATAATATCCCTTCAATCAGCTCATAAACAAAATTCAATCGACATCGTTTTTCTTGTTACACGATCATCATAAATCATTTATTATATCAGCATAATAAGAAACTCGTCAGATTTATAGTCAGCGAAAAATGAAACATAAATTAATGTCGTCATTGTTTAACAATATCCACACATGTTATTATATTAATATTACAACTAACATTAGATATGTTGTTGGAAATATGATCTAAAACTAGATACACATATAAATTTTAAGCACTAAAATAAATGTTTGTATTATTTTGTTTCTAATAATACTCATATTAATCTTGTTGTAATATGATTTGGCGAAACATGAATAAAAATTTAATTTAGCCATTTATATTTAATGACATTAATTACTAGTATCAATTCTTTAGCCCAACATCTGAATCATATCTTATCGTCGCGTTAATATAATTTGAAGACATACACTCTGTTTAATATTTTTGTTTTAAAAAATTAGATTCATAATAATGACAATTATGCATAAAGTTATAAATATATATTTTTACATTACAGATTCAAGTATATGGTAAATACGGAAACAGCAAGAAATAAGAGAAACATCCAAATCAAAATGTACTGTTGGAAGATGAGATTTGAAAGTTACTCGGGTAAGCAAATTTTAAAATAATTAGAAAAAAGGGTTAGAAAATAAGTAAACGAATATAAAATTTCTGCAAAGGATTTTTTCAGAGAATTTTAAATTAAAGTGGAAAAATCCAAATCTCAATTTTAATTTTTTAAAACTGAATTCCAAACTAAAATATGGAATAATTATATATAAGAAAATTGCATATAATTGTCAGCTGTTTTGCAGTTTAATTGTCTTTAATATCTTTCCTTTTAAACAATAATTATAATTTTAAAAATTGTTACGAAAAATATTTTTTTCCAACTGAGTATGAATGCTGAACTTTCATCTTGAAATTTTTTATTCTTACATATCTCCAGTATTTTTGTGACTTATGGACTGGTTTTATATGACGTTTTTATTCAATTTAAAAATATATATATAATTTGTTATGAATGTGAATACTTAATGGGTAAGTTAAGTGATCGCATATAAATCGAAAATGGAATTTGTATATATCTTCACGTTTCAAAGGTTTCTGAACATTTTGATATTCCCTAGAAAAAATGAATGAGTGTGTGTGCGTGTGTGTGCGGATACAAATTTTTATCGAGTATTTAGGAAACGCGAATCAACCGACTTGAATATTTCAAAAAACATTCAATTCGTATTGACAAAGATGCTGATTAGTTTTTGATAAAGACAGATCCAGCCGTTTCGAAGATACGGGGCAAAAATTGCCAAAAATGGTAATTCAGTTTTTGAGAGAACGGAGCGTTCGATTTGAATGATTTGAAAAACATTTTACTTGCATTGACGAAATGAACAACTGTTCAAATTTTTGGGAAGGCAAGTCCAACCGTTTCGGAAAATGAAAAAAAGTAAAACTAGTGGTGTATGGCATCGTGCCTTAAGGCAAATTGCTGGAACTTCCGCACCGTAACAAAATATTCGAGGAATATTAATGTTTTCAAATAGATTATTATAAACACTGTAACATTGTCTAATAATTATAAGATGATATAAACTGAATAGCAAAGGTAAATTATTTATTTAGAGTATATAGTGAGCTTCAGAACTTTAGTCTAGTCAGAATTAAAATTAAAAACCGAATCATTTTCGATAAACAAAAAAAAATTGATTTTTTTTAAGTTTTGAAATAGAAAAAAAACTCACAAAAGTAATTGTTCGTCAACACGAGCAGAAAGTTTTTGAATCATTCAAATTATATGCTTAATTCTCTCAAAAACTGCCATTTTTTGCACATTTTGCTCCATATCTCCGAATCGGCTGGACCTGCCTTTGCCAAAATCACCACTTCTCCATATCATTACAAATTGAATGTTTTTTGGATCATTTAAATCGGATACTGCGTTCTTTCAAAAACTCGATTTTTATTTTCTGCACTCTTTGCTCCGTATCTCTGAAACGGCTGGACCCGCCTTTGCCAAAAACTAATCGGTTGATTTTTGCGTCCGAAAACGTGACGAACAAATGTATTCATACATACATACACACACATCCATTTTTTCTAAGGTATGCCAAAATGTTCAGAAACCTTCAAAACGTGAAGATATGCAAACATTTTCAATTTTTATTTTTGACGAATACTTTAATACGAAAGCTTAAAAATGCCATTTGGCGGTCAAAAGCATCATTAGAAATATCAAATTACCAGATATTTTATAGAGATTTTAATAATAAGTGAAAATTTTGTTTATATTTCTGTGGGTTCCGTACCAAAATTTATAATGTTTAACCGTTGACAATATTTCGTCTCTAAAACAGCTAAGTAGGGCGATTGCTTTGAAAAATAAAAGTTAAAAATTTTCAAACAATTACAAAATATGAAAAAATTCAAATTTTTCAAAAAAAATCTGTTTTTCAAAAATGTTTATTAACTTCCCGTAGGGCAAGTTATAGTAATCGCAGAAAAATCGAAAATGAAAATTTTTATATATTTTTACGTTTCAAAACCTTCTGAACATTTTGGCATACCTTAGAAAAAATGGATGTAGGTGTGTATGCATGTGTGTGTGTGTGTGTTGGGATACAAATTTTCGTCGACGATTTCGGGAACACGGATGAAGCGATTTGAATAATTCAAAAACATTCGATTCGTATTGATAAGGAGACGTGCTGATTAGTTTTTGGCGAAGGCAGGTTTAGCCGTTTCGAAGATATGGGGCAAAAAGTGCCAAAAACGGTAACTCAGTTTTTAAGAGAACGGAGCGTCCGATTTGAATAATTCAAAAAACATTTTACTTATATTAACAAGATAAAGAACCTTTCATGAAGGCAGGTCTAGCGGTTTCGGAGATCGAGTAAAAAAGTAAAAAAATATGCCATTTGGCGGTCAAAAATGATCATTAGACATATGCACATCAAATTATCAGATACTTTATAGAGATTTTAACAATAAGTATAAATTTTGTTTACATTCCTATGGTTTCCTCACCAATGTTTATCCATTAGAATTAATTAGATTAGCGGCGCTTACGCGCTTCGATATTTCGTCTTTATGCAGTTAAAGCAGTACGATTGCATTGAAAATGTTCTGTATTTACAAAATATTTCAAAATAAATTTTTCTTCAAAATTTATAGTTTCTCAAAAATCTATTTTTTTTTCAGAGTAAATTTTTTTCAAAAATGTTCCAGCAATTTGCCTTAAGGCACGATGCCATGCGCCCCACTAGTTTTAAAATGTTCGATTTACTGCAAGGAAAGTTTCTGCAATTTGCCTTAAGGCACGATGCACCATGCGCCACTAGTTTCCATCTTTAAATCGCACGACTGTACTTTTCCCAAATTCCACTCAATTTCGCTCGAGGAGCAAATATCTTCTACTCCTGTGAAGAACAACCTTAGAAACGCATAAAAATAACTTATGCAAACATTACTTTTAAACAGAGTCGTAGAGCATTCGATCAATTCAATTAAATTTCAATTGAAATTGATTAAATTGGAGTTTGGGACGGATCGCTGCAGTCGCGCCGATCTCAGTTGGTGTTGGCCTACTCCCCGGATTGGTCGTCGGACAATAATTGACTGTGTTCCTTCTCATTCGGTCGAACTGTCGTGTTTTCAATTATTATCGGTGTTATTTCAACGACAGGATCTGATAGTGCAGATTATTTAAAATATAAGTAAAAATCGAATAAACTTATGTATTTTGAGTTAGTCTACGCTTTTGCTTAGACGGGCTGTCATGTGTTCCTTGAAGACAGCACGATTCGAATACGAACGTAGTTTTCGAACGAGTTTCGTGAAAATGTGACGTTTTTTAAAAGACGAACAGTTTTGTTATTAAGCAATTTACTTGAATTAAATTAAATCATTCTGGATTATTTTGTGCTTGTGTTCGTGACTTACAAGGTGTGTATCATCATTTACTGTTACTAAATTTTATTATATTTTTCAAATCACTAATTACTGACTTATCTTAATTTTCTAAATATTTATGGTGCACGTGTTTAGGTCATTTTAATTTTGCGGTAGTTTTGTAACAAATTAACTGTGTAGATCTAAAATTTATTATAAATAAATTTATTAACACAAAAAGACCTAATATTGAAATTTTCAATTCTAATACAGATTACAGTCCAATACTATTGACAATTATTAATTATATAAGTTACGTAGTTCAAAAAATAAAAAAAGCTATATTTTTAAATATTGCATTTATTATTTACTACGAATATAACCATAATTTAAATATTTTTATCGATACTATCTTTTAGCATTAAATTTTTAATAATTGAATTTATTACTTTATATTAATTTATTTATTTTTATTAATAATTAAAATATTTATTTATTTATTATGGTTATTTTATATAATTGCATTATTTATAATGATAATAAATTAAACGCAACATATAAATCGACAGAGTTGGATTAGATAATTTTATTTTACTTATTGTATTTATATTTTTTCATTTATTTTTTAATTAAAAACAATTTTTTTCCATTTATATTTTCTTAACTAAAAAGAATGCCTTTTTAATAACATTATGATAAAATTTGTGAATTTACGTACGAGTGATATTATTGATTCATTAATTAAGTTATTATTAACCAAATTATGAAATAAAACACTAGACTTTACTCCATGAAGTTAACTCTAAATTGCTATTTTTCAGTAACAATAATTTATAATATTTCATTATATTTTGATTGCTATTTTAAAGGAAATAATTATTAAAGTTATTTTTTTAAAGACATTATTTATATTATTAATAAATTTTAAGATACACAGTTAAACGCAACATATAAATCGACAGAATTGGATTAGATAATTTTATCTTACTTTTGTATCTATATTTTTTCATTTATATTTATATTTTATTAATTAAAATGAATACACTTTTAATAAGGTTATCACAAAATTTATGAAATTACACTCGAGTGATATTTGCAATATATTTTTATTATTAACCAAATTATCAAATGAAATGATTGACTTTACTCCATGGAGTGAACTCTAAATTACTATCTCTCAGTAACAATAGTTTCTAATATTTCATTATATCTTGATTCCTATTTTAAAGAAATTAAATAATAAAACTGAAATCAACTCCAAAGTGTGTGCCGCAAAATATATTATTTAATAAAATTAATTACGAATTATATTAAATAATAAATTTAAATACGAATTATATTATTTAATAAAATTAAATACGAATTATATTAAATAATAAAATTAAATACGAAAAAATACGCCTTTTTGATTTCTTTAAAGTTAGTAAATTAGTAAAATCTTTGATGTACTTAGGTCGCCATGTAAAAATATTATTTAGCCGTAAACAAAAAATTATATTAATCCATAATTAACTTCCCGTAGGGCAAGTTATAGTAATCGCAAAAAAATCGAAAATGAAAATTTTTATATATCTTTACGTTTCAGAGGTTTCTGAACATTTTGGCATACCTTAGAAAAAATGGATGTATGTGTGTGTGTGTGTGTGTGTGTATGTGTGTGTGTATGTGTGTGTGTATGTATGTATGTGTGTGTATGTATGTGCGGATACAAATTTTCGTCGACGATGTTCGGGAACACGGAACAACCGATTTGAATAATTCAAAAAACATTCGATCCGTATTGATAAGGAGACGTGCTGATTAGTTTTTGGCAAAGGCAGGTCAAGCCGTTCCGAAGATACGGGGCAAAAAGTTCCGAAAACGGTAACTCAGTTTTTAAGAGAACGGAGCGTCCGATTTTAATAATTCAAAAAACATTTCACTTGTATTGACAAGATGAAGAATCTATAAAATTTTCATAAAGGTAGGTCTAGCGGTTTCGGAGATATAGAGGAAAAAGTAAAAAAATGAGCCATTTGGCGGTCAAAAATGATCATTAGACATATGCACATCAAATTATCAGACATTTTATAGAGATTTTAACAATAAGTATACATTTTGTTAACATTCCTATCGGTTCCGTACCAATGCTTATGCGTTAGACAGCGACGCGGCGCTTACGCGCTTTATATTTTGTCCCTATGTAGTTAAAGCAGTACGATTGCTTTGAAAAAAAAGTTCAGATCTTCCACAATATGTCAAAATAAAGAAAAAAAAAATTTTTTTCAAAAAAAAAAAAAATTAAAAAAAAAAAAATTTTTTTAAAAAAATTTTTTTTTCAAAAAAAAAAACTAATTTTTTGTCCAATTTATAGTTTCTCAAAAATCTTATTTTTTCAAAGTAATTTTTTTTCAAAAATGTTAATCGTTTTAAAAAAAAATAATAATTATTGGTACGGGAAGTTCCAGCAATTTGCCTTAAGGCACGATGCCCTAATTGCCTTAAGACAGAATTCCACTTACAGCTAGTTTTATATTTATTTTATTTAATTGTTAAAAGATACCGATAACATAGATAAAGGTTGTTTGATCCTGCTATGTAATACATCCCATTTTATTTACTAAATCTTTCAAAACAGAGTGACTTATTGTCTTCATTATCTTCAATTAAAACATCTTAAACTGAGAAAGGGATTAAACTAATATAAATAGTATTAGGATTTAAGGTACATATAGTACAAAACAAATGAAATTGTTACAGAACTAAAGAATGTTTAATTGACCCAAAACGTTAATTATCTTTAATGGATTTTAATTGGGATTTTTTAAACGATGACATGAAGAGAGTGGGCTTGAAAATAAACATATTTGTTTGTATGGACTGAATAACATTGTCTCATGTAACATAAAAGAATCATATTTACACTAGAAATCGACAATATTTTAAATTTCAATTAAAATTCAAAAGTTGTTTGTATTTTATAATTTTAGATATTTATAAAATATTTAATAGTTGCGAATTTAATAAAGTGACTAGTGTTAAATTCAAAAAAAGATACCTGACGAATTTGTTTTATAATGCAAGAATAAAATCTAAGTTAATTGAGATGTACATAATCGAATTCATAATATAATATGACTGCATTAAGATTTATAGTTTTAATGATATTAAAGTATTTTTCTTATATTTTTAAGTTTCTATGATATCAAAGGTAATCACTCTTCACAGGGATGTCTAAATTATTTTTTTCATTTAAATATATAAGTTAAACAATTATAATAAAAATAACAAATTATATAATTATATATAACATTATAATAAAACATGGGATCAGAGCAACATAGAAGTTTTTGCAGTAATCGAACCAATGTAAATTTATTTGCATTGAAATGCATTTGGTATATTTTCTAAAGAAAGAAATTACTTTTAAATTTTAACTTTTTTCTGAAATATATTCGCTTATTTATTTCATTTTATTTGTTATTAAGGTTTCGGAAAAAGTTTGTGCATGCATGCAAATAAATTTTATATAGGTACTATTATTATTATGTATATAGGCATCAATAAACTTGAAACTTTTTATTAGTGCCTACTTCAATAATTAATATTGTTACGTCATAATAGAAATTTGTTGAAGATAAATACATTTATCGCCGAAATTTTTGTAATCTACTTTTTTCAAGTCACCTTCATATTCAGTAGATATAATAATAAAATACATTTTTTATCATTTCAATTAGATTAACTACAATTACGACTTTACACAATACGAATTGATAAAGTTTAGATATCAACAGATGACTACGATCTTTTTTGGACTATCAGGTACAGTAATACTTGCTTCGTCTTATCAATGGAAATTATTTTTGTGACAAGTTCCTTGTAAATTAAATTATTTTTGAAAAATATCACTCATTGGTATATGGCCAGTTGTTATATATTATTGAAACATTTGGTTAGATAAATTAAATGCAAATTAAAGTTTAACTTCTATTAAATAATGGGGACTTTTCAGAATCTAGCAAAAATATTTTGAAGATTGAAATTTTAAAATTTTTGTAATAAATTATTTTTACGGCATTAATATATCAATATGTATATATTAGAATTATTCCAATAAATATCGATTGTTTGTTAATATTTCATAGTATGAAACTATTATATATAATACGCTACTTGACATCTAACTGCAAAAGATCAAATGTCATCATCTGATATTTATAATGTTTTTACAGTTACAATATTTTTTTTAATTTCATATGCAATCAAAATTAATATGCGCCCCTAAATTGGAAAAATTTCTTTTTGGATTCCACGGTATAATTAATTGAAACATTTTACTAGAAATGTTGGGCCAATAATTTCTAGTCTCGTGTTCGATCCCAACCTCGGTCAGCTCGATTTAGCACAGAATGTTGCTAAATTATAGATGGTTAGTATGAGATTGGTTAATCGATGGTTGTCTCTCGTGAATCATTAGGTTGTTTTCAACAAACAGTTTATAGGGCAAACTCACATAAAGTTGGCTTAGATTAAAAAAACTCCATTTTCCACAAAAATGCGCGTTCAGCGTATTTTCCGCCATTACTGTATAATAGCTTGAACTTCTGCCTTCAGCATAAACAAACCGATTCTTTCAATTTCAATGACTAGTTGGACCATTTAAATTAAACTAGGCATTTATGGCATTTTGCCTTGGATCAAGTTGCATGAAATTTCCGAAACGTGTAAATACTTAACCAATAACAATTTAGATTTAGCTATTTAAATAAATTTAACAACTGTTTAATTGGAGAATGCCGAATATGCAAACAAATGATCAAAATCTGCTCACATGCACTCCAATTTTGCTCTCGAACGATTCAGACGTACTTGAAACGTTGATAAAAAGAAACTTCTCTTTTGACAAATTATTACTTTAAATTTTATTGCTTTATTTGAAAAATGTGTAAATATATTGTTTACTTTCCGTAGGGTAAGTTACTGTGAAAATTTTTGCATATCTTCACGTTTTGAAGGTTTCTGAACATTTTGATATACCTTAGAATAAATGGGTGTGTGTGTTTATGTATGTA